TCCGATCTATGAGTGAGGAAATCTTCCGAAACTACTACGGAAAGAATTATGAGAAGGTTAAGGGAGACTTCATAAAAAAATATCCAATGCAACCTTATCTAAGTTCGACTTTGAGGTCACCTTTGCCAAGGACGGAACCGTGGATTCGAGAGACATCTTCTATAAAGTGGATGACCTCACAAGCTATGACATCACATCCGACACATTCCGCACAAATCCGGAGTGGACCAAGTACCTGTACTGGGTAGATGGGTGGCGAAGTGTTCAACCGGATGCAATCTTCCGTCCAAATAAAGATTTCAAGATGGATGTGCATACCTTTAGGGTCTATGTTACAGAGACAGAGAATTTCCTGACAAAATTGGACCCTATTAAGCCATCATACGATAAACCCCCCGAAACCTTTATCAACACTATACATTCTGATTACCATTCGAACTCTTATTTCTGTTCCCTAGCAGCATGCTATGTTGCTATGTTTAAATCCGGAATTTCCGAGGATCATCTTACGAATAACTTTCCCAACTCACACTCCAACATGAAGTAGTCCATCACCACGAACAAGCGCAGGGAGTTATGGGCTTGAGCCATCGAAAATTGAGGAGCGCCTGGGAGATCTTGTGCCGTTTCTTGCAAAATTCGTCTGTTTCTTGCAAATCGTTGTTTTTCGACAGTTTGGGGCCTCTTTCGCATTTTTGTTGAGGAAACAACATTTCAAATTGTTCAATTAATCATGTGATTACAGTCAGATAATATTTGATATCATTTAACGTTTTAAATGATGCCGAGATGTCAACACTTGGAGAGTTCAACGAGGCCGTTGGAAGCCGGTTTATATAATAAATTTACAAGGTATGGAAAAATGACAATGCATTTTTATCACAATGAGCGATTTATTTTAAAAATTGTTACAGCTACAAGACGTTTTTTAAACAAGGGAGCGATGAAACTTTATTTTGTATTGGACTTGCAAGATTCGTCACAGGATTTCAGTTACGAGCTTATTTACATGCAGTATGTTTGATTTTCACGATGCAAACGATCGACAATATTTTGAATAATTCGGGTAAGGATCGCTTTAATTCTTTCTGGTGATATACATGAAGGAATTTATATTTAGATCTGTTGTTTACTTGTATGTTCGACAGCTAGTACAGTATACAAGATCGGCCAGGCGCTAACCAGAACGCTCATATCCCACTCCCCTTTGCGCGCCTATAATCTGACACAATACTTTATGTAAACCTTTCATATAGTGACTCGCATGAAAGTTTTTTATTAGCGCCTGAGGACGAGGCAGTAGTTGCCATAGCAACACACTAGTTACCAGGTTTCTGTCCTATTTGAATAACTGTTTGCGCCGTACAAAAGGGAAAGGAATTTTTCTTGTTTCCATCAACTATTATAGATAGATAGATTGATTGATTGATTGAAATTTTTATTTAACCACGGTGGTTTTATCAATTGTAGATATGACATATTTACATTTGTTCTTCCTAAAAGCCGTGTATCTTAATATTTCAATATAAAACTATATACAGAAAACATATTCT